ATGGTATTTCATAGAATTACATATCTTCCAAAGTTGTGTTTAAAATGTTGTCGGTTTTTACTTTTACAAAAAACAGCGTCTTGAGTAATAAATGTTCAGAAAGAAAGACATTCTACCTTTATTTATACAAACACTGTAATTTTCAGTCGAACAATCACCATACTCTCGGTACCAGGAAAGGAAGTCTATAAAAGTCAGTGACCCCCTCCCCCTCTCTCTGAGTCACGGCTACTTTCTGTTACTCAAAACAATTATAATTTATAGTTTTTCCCCAATTAAAGCGTTTAACCGTAGTTAAATAAGCTGTGTTTAAGCAGTTTATTTTGTCCAACTTAACATTCTGCAAGGTTCGATCACAATCCATTTCAAATTGTTTGACTGTAGCGCAGCCTAGCGGTGGAATGGGAAAGATACGAAAAATGTGATATCCATCCGACTCCTATCTCATGAATCAACGTCTATTGCATATTACAAATAGAGTACACTTGGAAGTGTGTGTGAAATACCATCAGCTTTCCAGGTAACGCATCAATGTCTATAACATTACATATATCATCGCATACACTACTCCAGATAATGTGTTTCTAAGACAGTATAAATAACATTTGTGTAAAAAGGGTCACTCATCGCATACACATTATCTGGAGTACTGACCCTTTTTACACAAATGTTATTTATACTGTCTTAGAAACACATCACATATGATGAAGAGTATACTACATATATGAACTTATTAGTGAAAGCAAACAAGAATGTGTAATAATATGTCAACCACACTATTTCTACTATATCCAGTGCGATGAGGCCTTTCGTTAAACACCGGTGTTCAAATGGCTGGGTATAATATATGTATATCATGAACTACAACTGTAATGGTGTGAGCTAGATTAAGTACAATACAGTGTCTATTATAATCTTTGTATACCTAATAGACAAAGATGGATATCTGTTTCACGTATTCTGTGTTCCGTTCTTTTAACTTAACTACTATGTAGACACTGTGTGATTGACTGTTTTTCTTCTCTGTAGAAAACATCTCACCCTTCCTACACTCCGGAACGGCCGTGTGTCTCAGCACTACTGTGGTAATCTGGTCCGCTGCTGTCCTTGGAATAATCCAGATTGTTCTGCTCGTGTCCTGCACGTTTCTCGTGTTTATCAATAGGCGACAACGTCACAATAGACCTTGTCATTGTGGCAGTCGAGCTTCTATCTCCAGCAAGACTAAGCTCTTCACGTCATAGACAAACTGTGATGCCGAATGACAACAACATGAAGCGTCTTTCTTTTCTTGTTTTTTTTCTTGGTTCTTTCGAAACCAACTTGTTTACCAGTTTACACTTTAACCCAATCATATTGCAACATACAGCCAGCCCTACATTTAATGGTTTACCCAGTCATATTGTTACATACAACCTTAAGTTCAATGGTTTACTCAATCATATTGCAACATACAGCCAGCCCTACATTTAATGGTTTACCCAGTCATATTGTTACATACAACCTTAAGTTCAATGGTTTACTCAATCATATTGCAACATACAGCCAGCCCTACATTTAATGGTTTACCCAATCATATTGTTACACACAGCCTTACGTCTAATACATACAACTTTATGTCTAATGGTTTACCCAATCATATTGTTACATACAACCTTACGTCTAATGGTTTACCCAATCATATTGTTACATACAACCTTACGTCTAATGATTTACGCAATCATATTGTTACATACAACCTTACGTCTAATGTTTTACCCAATCACATTGTTACATACAACCTTACGTTTAATGGTTTACCCAGTCATAGTGTTACATACAACCTTACGTCTAATGGTTTACCCAATCATATTGTTACATACAACCTTACGTTTTATGGTTTACCCAATCATAGTGTTACATACAACCTTACGTCTAATGGTTTATGTAATCATATTGTTACATACAGCCTTACGTCTAATACATACAACTTTATGTCTAATGGTTTACCCAATCATATTGTTACATAAAATCTTACGTCTAATGGTTTACGCAATCATATTGTTACATACAACCTTACGTCTAATGGTTTACGCAATCATATTGTTACATACAACCTTACGTCTAATGGTTTACCCAATCATATTCTTACATACAACCTTACGTCTAATGGTTTACCTAATCATATTGTTACATATAATCTTACGTCTAATGGTTTACCAAATCATATTCTTACATACAACCTGACATCTAATGGTTTACCCAATCATATTGTTACACACAGCCTTACGTCTAATACATACAACTTTATGTCTAATTGTTTACCCAATCATATTGTTACATACAATCTTACGTCTAATGGTTTACCCAATCATATTGTTACATACAACCTTACGTCTAATGGTTTACCCAATCATATTGTTACATACAACCTTACGTCTAATGGTTTACCCAATCATATTGTTGCATATAGCCTTACGTCTAATGGTTTACCCAATCATATTCTTACATACAACTATACGTCTAATGGTTTACCCAATCATATTGTTACATACAATCTTACGTCTAATGGTTTACCCAATCATATTGTTACATACAACCTTACGTCTAATGGTTTACCCAATCACATTCTTACATACAACTATACGTCTAATGGTTTACCTAATCATATTGCTACATACAACCTTACGTCTAATACATACAACTTTATGTCTAATGATTTACCCAGTCATATTGTTACATACGGCCTAATGGTTTACCCAGTCATATTGTTACATACACCTTTTTGACTTTATAGGCTTTATTTTCCTTGAATGTTTTGTTATTGTTATTCATATACGGATTAAACGTGCTGCTCTTTGCATGTTCAACAATATTGTTTCTTAAATGTTTTCACCAATGGAAAAGAATGGAGAGTTTCCAGTAAACACCCTGTGTACAATGTTTGTTTTTATATAGTAACTAGTTTTGATATAGCCTCAATAATAAGTGGAATTTTTACGTACATTTCGTGTAGACTAGGAAATCTAATCGAATATTTTTGAGAAACAATTTTGTGTGTTAAAAAACGTTTATTATGAACAAAATAATTACAAAATGAGTATTCAAATAAAACTGACCATAATTTCCGTGTCATATAATACCGTTATTCTAACGCAATAACCTATATTTGTTACACTAACATAGAACTTTGGAAATAATATGTTAGCAAAAATTTTGTTTTTAAAGATGATCAATGTGACAATAGACTGTTGAGTGCCTCATTAAAATGTTTATGTATTTCAATCGTATACTTATCATACACTGTTGGTGTTTTCGTATATATCACATCTTCATCAGTTAGTTATCGGGAGGGAAGAAAAGGGTTTTTTTTATGTGGAATATTTTTCTCTACTGTAAGCCAATATATATTTATTCTGTCCAATTACTAGAGGTCTCTCTTTCACTGTGACGCGTTTCTTCATCGTTACTTGGGAAAATCCAGATGAAAACTTTGATCTTGTTACATGTAAGTCACGTCACCCCAAGCGGAGACGTTTGATTTTGTTACATGTAAGTCACACCACTCCTGGGTGAGGCATGTTTTCTTGTGACATGTAAGTCACACCACTCTTAGGTAAGATATCTTCTTCTTTCTTCAGAAGGGGGGGGGCATCGGTAGCACTTGGTAATAAGCTGGTTTTGATTATTTTAAAATTTTAATAAGTTGTACAGGAAAGCTGTTTTTAGTGCTAATGCTTGGTGATGTAACTGTTGCTTGTGGTACAATAAATGTTGTGTTTGTTAACTGTGTTGGGTTGAAATGTTTTACGTGTAGGACTGACATTTGAAGTTGCTTATGATGTCACGTAGACGTAACATGCTATATGAATGTGACGGAACTAAAACTTACTTTGTTACATGATATCCTCTTTTTTGGGTATAAACGTCTTTTGTTTTAAAGGATTTTTTGTACAATATTTAAGAAATATAAGACTTTCCTTTGGATAAACAGTAGAAACACCAAATCGCATCATTTTCTTTAACAAGACTGTTAAAGATTTGAGTTTACAGTTTTTGTTGTTTTTTAAAGTCTTAAGTTCCCTACATCTTTCAGAAAACACAGTAATCTCTTGTTTTATATATAGATATTTATACAGATTTTTAGCTTTAATATTAAGCTTTGATAATACTTTTGGATCATTTTCTGGCAGTGGTCTTTGCTAAAGTCTATATTCTTGTGTAAAGAGCCGTTATGAGATACGGAATGGTTTCCATATTCACCTGATTTGTCACCTCTAGGCTTCTTTTTACAGGATTATCTAAAGGATAAAAGTTATGTGCATCTTTTGGGGGGGGAACCCAATATATATGTGTGTGTGTGCGCGCGCGCGCGCAGATGAGGGCGGTAACGCTTAAATTACTTTATTACTTGAAGTCTACTGTAGATCCCCATAATGTTGGAACTTAAGACTTTAATACTTGAAGTCTACTGAAGATCCTCATAATGTAGGAACTTAAGACTTCAATACTTGAAGTCTACCGAAGATCCCCATAATGTTGGAACTTAAGACTTAAATACCTGAAGTCTACTGAAGATCTCCATAATGTTGGAACTTAAGACTTCAATACTTGAAGTGTACTGAAGATCCACATAATGTAGGAACTTGTTTTCTGAAAAAAATGTAGAGAACTTCAGACTTTGATTGTTGAAGTCTGCTGGAAGTCCCCATAATGTATTCACTTGTCACCTGTTGTTGGGGTGTTTGAAAAATAGATTTGGTCAGATACACATACACATAAAAATTCTGGTTTTAGAACATAAAAATAACTATAAACTATTCACTTGTAATGTTGGTGACAGTAATTTTCTCCGGTTGGTTCTATAGCAGCTCGAAAGATTAGGCCTACATACTTGAAGTAATAATTTCCTTTCTGTTTTGAGACGATACGAATCTGAGCAATAAACAACCCATTATGAAAACGAGAACCAGTATTAATAAATATAAACAAACTTAGGATTTTTATTCACATGTCACAAATTTCATCTTTGAACTTTTGATATCATAAATAAAAAAAAACTGAAAAACGTTTATCCATTCTTATTTTACGTCATAAGAACTTGTTCTGTGCTCCACAGTGGCTGAAAAGACACGTGATAATAAACAGATTACGTCGCTTTTTGATCCTTCGATGTCGGCTCTTCCTATCATTGCGAAGAGTAACGTTTTGTCCACAAGCAACATTCCGCGGATTACAAAAAAAAACAACAACTAAAGTTGGTTTTCAACTATACTAGAGGTTTAGGGCAACACAAATGTTGGTAATGTCGGTTCTTCTCTTTATTTTTAAAAGCCCTCCTACCTAGTGACTCAGCGGTAAGTCTGAAGGCTTATAACGCAAAAAAAAACATGTTTTCATACCCGCTGTTGGCACCACCCAGACAGCTCACACAACCTTTGTGCTTAACACGAACCAAACAAAATATAATCATGTGTCAAGATTTTGGATGAAAGACCGTTGCCTTTTGCAAAGTAATTTATAGAAGACTTATTTTCATTGCTAAGTCAATGTACACCGGTAGAATCCCTGAAAGTCAGTTTTACCCTTATCTCAAGTGCAAGGTTTAAAAATGTGTTTGTCTAGTCTCAGGTTCAAATAGATAGTTTAAAGGTTTGATGTTTGTCTAGTCTTAGGTGCAAGTAGAAATTTTAAAGGTTTGATGTTTGTCTAGTCTCAGGTGCAATTGCAAGGTTTAAAGGTGTAATGTTTGTCTTGTCTCAGGTGCAAGTAGAAAGTTTAAAGGTGTGATGTTTGTCTAGTCTCAGGTGCAATTGCAAGGTTTAAAAATGTGATGTTTGTCTAGTCTCAGGTGCAAATAGATAGTTTAAAGGTTTGATGTTTGTCTAGTCTTAGGTGCAAGTAGAAAGTTTAAAGGTGTGATGTTTGTCTAGTCTCAGGTGCAAGTAGAAATTTTAAAGGTTTGATGTTTGTCTAGTCTAAGATGCAATTGCAAGGTTTAAAGGTGTAATGTTTGTC